CTGCTTTACTGATGTTTTTGTTACTGTTTGTGTTAAGTGTTTTAATTTATTGTTTGCCATTTCAGTCTCTTCATGTGGAACAGCTTGTCAATCTTATAATAAATAATAAGCACTTAAAAGTTCAAAATAGACCAATCATGCTATTTCTGGTACGTATCACACATTTGTGTTCACACAAAAAACCATTCAATTTCATGTTCATATTAATCCCCAGGTTTTTTAATCAACATGAACATTCACATTTAAATGTGTACTTTGAACATATTTTTTCTCAAAATACTTCCATCTGCATGCATTTTAAAACACTTTTTGATATGTAGCTATATTTCAATCTGCACAATAGTTGGGAAGATGTGATCGGCTTCATTTATAATAGAATTACATTTGTGAGCAATTGTGTGTGGGTGTGTGTGTGTATATATAAAAATTTCTCAATAACTCTTTTAATGGCAAAAACAGCAAAGTATCTTGACTCAGCCATTGTCATAGGATAAGTTTCCCTATGTTTCCCTAAAAAAGTTTCCCTCCAGACGTTGCCCTCCATGTATTTGTGCTTATGTTGGTTTCCTCAGTTAGGGCAAGAATATCAAGAATTAGTTGCCAGGGCTAGAACTAGCACTTCCCTGAGAGCTCTATGCTGTTGCCTTCCCTGAGAAACCACTGAATTTACAGGTCAGAGTTACCTGAACAGCCAAGGATCTCTGGGGCTCTTGAGTGACTGCCTACACGGCCTGGCTATTAGTTCCCTCTTGTACACACACACAGGGGAAAGCAGCCAGAAGGCCATGGTCTGTTGATGGATTTGATGGGAAATGGAGTTCAGACAGTGAGGATGAAGCAGTGTGGAATCTCAGCAAATGACAGTATCAGATCAAGGGCAGGGAATGTCTGCAGTTCAAGCACTGTTGCCCCAACTTGGTGCAGATGGTGACCGAGCATCTCATGGGAATGAAGAGATAGCCCAGCAAGGAGAACTGGGGATGGAAGATGTCAAGAGCTCTGATTGGCCAATGGCAGAATGGGAGGCAGGTTCAGGATCTCCCCAGGGCACGTGCCAAGAACTGAGTCAGATGTAGATGTAGAGGCCCCTTCTCCTGAGGAGGTGTTGCCAGTTGCAAGGAGGCAACACAGGCAGGAGATTCAACTGTCAGAGCCACAGGAGGGGCAGAGACAGGCGAGGAATGCCAGTGCCCTGCATCTCAGCTGGCGATGGAGGAAGTCTCTTAAATGGGACAAATATTAAGTGAGGACTCAGACAGCATTCAACAGTTTACTCTGGGTGAACTGAGAGATGTTTGACAAAAAGGACGTGTGTCAATAAAGCATTGAGAAAAGGAACTCTGAAGCAGTGTGTTTACTCAGGAAAAGGACCGCACCTCACGACACTCACTCTGATCAAGCACTATACAGCTTCCTGTTCAGGCCAGATCTTCATCTTGGCAACAATTAGTGATTCATTGAGTGCAAATACTATCAAGCCCAGGAATTACAAGTTTTGGCTCTCTTTGTTGTTGTTATATGCCATTAAGTTATCTGCAACCTATGGCAAACCATGAATAAAAGCCCTCCAAACTGTCCTGTTCATGATGGCCCTGCTCGGATAGGTCTTCCAAGTTCAAGACTGTGATTTCCGTTACGGACTCAATCCATCTGATATTTCCTTATGGACTCAATCCCTTTTCTTCTTCTGCCTTCAACTTTCCTTAACATGATTTTCTTCTCTAGTGACTCTTGCCTTCTGATGATGTGTCCAAAATATTTGGCATTTTTGTTTCTAAGTTCTGGTTTGACTTGATGTATGACCCATTTGTTCATCTTCCTGTGAAGTCCAGGGTATTTGCAAAGCTCTCCTCCAACACCATGTTTTGAATGCATCAATTTTGTGATCGGAAATACAATAGTATAGATGATCTTGTTGGCCCACTTTAATGGCAGAAAATTCTGCTGTACAGTGGGGTAGTTCTCACTGGTAGAATTCTTAGAATGGCATCATTTCTAAGTGGGTAAGTATTCACTGCACGGCCTCCTCAAGCTGTCCAATTTTGAACCACAGCTGTAGACATAAGTCCTGCATCTGCTAGTCCAAGCATCAACTTCTTTTCTGAGCTTACTAAACTTGTCTGGATACACAGGTAAAGGAGAAGGCTGTCAATGGCTATTTGTTCTGATAGTAGCAGAGGCAATATTTCTATGTTCAGTAGTTGCTGGGGAAGATGGGCAAGTTATCCAAATTAGTCAGTTTCTCTACTCTCAGTATACCTATCTTGTCTGGATTAAGTCTCATTTTGTGCTGCTGCCCTCATGTTCTATCTGTGGGATCTTGTAGGCAGCTGGTTGGCCACCAGAATGCTAGACTAGTTGGATCAATGGTCTGATCCAGCATGCCTGTCTTGCCTTATGTTCTTATAAATCAATACTGTGATTCTTAGGCACACTGTAGTGAAGCTAAGCTAGTTCACAGTGTGACACAGAGTTTAAATTAAGGCAGGGCGGCTAGGTCAGGAGGGAATGAGGAAGACAAAAAAGCCTAATCTAAGCCTGCCTTATACTTAGCCTGATGTCAGTCTTCTTGTTATACTCCTGTGTAAGACTCTGCTTGTGTACGTTTAACACTTGAAAGATTCATTGTTACACCATTCTAGGACATAGTTTCCATTATACATATGCTTTTGCTTATGCGACACAGGTCAAAGACTCGCATTACCAGCTTCTTATAGAACCAGTTGAGAACTGAATTATGCAAAAGCTATCTTCTATTTATTTACCAAAATGCCATATTTTAATCACAGGTCAACAAAGAATAAAACTTTTCATTCCACAGTAAGCACCCAGGAAAACCCTGCCTATGCTGTGATTGGTATATAATGGGAAAATCAAGAGAAGGTGATTCTTATAATTATATATTTTCTGGCCCTATGCAGGTTCACTCTCTATGAAATGTCAACCAATGCTACAGGGCAAAGGCAGTACAGAACAGGAGCAATGGGTAATTTAAAGCGAAAATCTATGCTGCTGTCCCCACAACATGTACATTTTCGCTGCAGTCAAGGAGGACTGGAAAATGATTGCTTCACAAAATGAAGTTTTAAAGACCGAAAGAAAATGTCTTTGTAATGGAAGGCACATTTGTGGATCCTGTGTAATTCTTTAGCCATCCACTTTACTGCTGCCTCATGTTATAAGCTTATAAAAATTGGGTGTTTCAAACAAAGTCCAGCACCGAGAGTCTAAAAAAGGAAAAAAGGACATGGCAAAAATCTCTAGCAATGGAAGCAGAAGATGACATTCTAAAACATTAGTTTAGGGCTGGACAACCTGAGGTCCTACGGCTACATTCAGCCATTGGCCTGATTTCAAAGACCCTCCGAATTCAAGAGCAAACTCTCCTTTCACTGGCAGCCCAGAATTGGGAAAGAAGAGGGAGAAAAGGGGGAAGAGGAGAAAGAGAAAAGGGATTGCTTGACCCACTTTTGGCTCTAGCCCTGTCCACTGCTGACTCTAACCCTGCTCAAACCTTCATTATTTGATGCAGCATTAAACCATTCATCATGACATTCATCATGGCACCCTTTGTTTATAAGCCATCCAGAGGTGCATAGTGATTGGACAGATTAGAAACATCCCAAATAAATCAATAATAAATAAGGCTGATTTGTGGGGGGGGGGGGTGGCATTAGTGCCTATGGGTGAGATTGGTTTCATAGAACATGAACAGAACAGTGAGAGAAGTTGCCCAGGTCCAGCAAGATATCCTGACCAAAGGGCTTTGCCCTTAAGGGATTGCTTGCGTAGTGTGATTGTGCTTGCATGACACTGGATGTACCATGTGAGTGGGATGATATGAATTCATTCTGAAGGACCAGAGTGGAAAGCCAGGGGGAAAGAAACTGCAACTAGTCACTAGACGAGAAGAAAGCAGCTACATAAGATGACCAAGCATGACAGTTCATATAGCGGGTATGCTGAAGAAACATCACCCCAGACATCTAAAGTTATATCGGTAGATTCTCTGTCTTTCTTTCACACATGAATCATCCATGGACAAAATCAGTCTTTTGCCAAAAGAAGGTTATGCTAAATATAAATAGTTAGCCATTAATGTGCCACAAATATCTTTATCTACTTTTGCCTAATGTACACAGTCAGTCTTGGACATTTAAAAGCCAGTGACCTAAAGCTGACATTTTCAGGGTAATGTTGAGGTGACTTAATTCACTCTACAGAAACTGTTGAGTAGTTCCAGAGAAATGTATTCACATAATGAGTTACTCTGAAGTAACAAGGACCAATGGGAAAGTCAAAAGGGATGTTTGTAGTATTTCTGTTTTGTAACTGTTTGTTTGTACTCTGCCTATGGCTCATTTTGATATAAATGACACTTCAGATTAGGATTAGAGAACTGCACTAAACAACTAGTCTCCAGGCTTGAAAAACAATGTATGA